TATGCTATCTTTCTAAGGCCTGGTACTTTCACCTCAGTATAAATATAATTTATTCGGCGAATAACTATCTATCGGATAAGTAAATCAGAGGTTGCTATCTGTAGTATATCTACGAGGGGTATTTTCAGGTAAAATTATCCTCGGGCTAACAATCCGTTGCTGGTACCTTCAGTATTTCGGCAATGTAAGTGTTACCAACCAACGAAAACGAAAAGTGAGAAAAACTTATGGGAAGTTGAATGCTTCAGATAAAGATAGAATATATCTCTTGTCTAGTTGCTTGTTTTTGCCGTGCCGCCGCATTCCACTTGTCATTTGACTGATTTGTGGTGGATTTGAGTTTAACATTCATTTGTTTATCTTTTTTGGAGAGAGAAAGTGCGTTTATGTTAAATAATTTTTGTATCGTGTAGTGGGAGTGGCTGATTAATCTTCCATTAGTCGCGCGTGTATCTGAGAGATACATGCCTATTATTTTTGCAAATAAATCAAAAAGGAAAAACCCTATAATATTAGGTATGGCTTCTAGTACTCCTTAGGCACCCTATACTAATTACTTTCTCAAAATTACATGGTCGTAACTCTACCTGGAAATTCGGAATTTCCAAAAAACTTCAGGTGCGCTCGGCTTTGTACCTGACTGATACAACGCGGTTATTCTAACAAAAAATAAAACTTTTAAACTTCGGAGAAATGTGTTGAGTTTTTTCCCTTTGCTATTCCATCTCCAGTCATGTTTTGAAGGGTATCATCAGCAAGGGGCTTTCAAGAGCAAATATTGAAATTTGAAATACTAAGTACAAAAATGAAACTGTAAATAACAAAAAAAAAAAACACCTATTTAACGAATTTTTCAAACAAACACAAATCTTAGAAAATTGGGTCATCAGAATTCTGTGTTGTCACCTAAATCAGAGTAAACACACTACGCGAGGAGCTATTCGGCAGATAAAACCGGTTATTCTTAGGTCTGAGCACAGGATACGTTAACTAAAGGTTAGCCCGCATTTATCTGATAGATATCACTATTCGCAAGTGAAAATACACTCGTTTTCCTTTTCTCTAGGATATTCTCTAATCTGGAGAATAAATATCGCTATCTGCAAGTGAAAGTACCGCGCCTAAACAATTTAAAAAAGACTTAAAACCATTATTTCCAAGAAATTGAGTTTTGCCTGCTAGGTGCAGGGTCTTTCCTCATATATTGACCCCTGACCCCTCCCCTATAGGGACTTTATTCTCGAAACAGGGGAGCAGCGTTCTCATGAGAACGAAGGTTGTGTCTTCGTCGTCCGTATTCATATTTCCATAAAATTAACAATGACAGTGCTATCTTTCTCATGAAAACGCTGTTCCTCGGTTATATATATATAGTTTTGGAGCTTTAACTGAAATTTTTGAATTTGACGTCAAAAACTTTGCTGTTCTTTTAGAAATGTCAGTTGAAAAGAGTCGAATTTTCTGATTTCAAATATACCTATATGGTTTAACTACTTTTAATTATGCCGTTTTGGAAATATCGGGCTCTAAACTTCAAGAAAATTACATTGAAAGACCTCCTATGTCATGTGAAAGAATAACAATGGCACCGCCTCCCAAGGTGTTTCAATGTTCTTAAAGTTTAGAGCCTGATATTTCCAAAACGGTTAAATCAGAAGTAGTTAAACCACATATTATCCGTTCACAATCCGATGTCCACAGGTAGGTACAGGTAAAATCACCTTTCAATGCTATTTGATAGGGAAAGGTGATAAATTTACCTGCACCTGTGGACATCGGACTGTGAACAGGATATATATTTGAAATCAGAAAATTTGACTCTTCAACTATGATGTCATATGGGGAGTTCCATAAGAAAAAACTGACCATCTATCAACATTTGACATTTCTGAAAAACAAAAAAGTTTCTCGATTTTGATGTGAGAATGTCATTATTCCCGCACGCAAAATCGTTGAAGAATGAAGCTCATTCTTCAACGATTTTTAGTAACATTTAGTTTTCAAAGTATACCTATTGGTACCTTCAAAATTGTCAAACCTTCTAAAATGATAGAATCCACCTGTCAGTTGGTTGGTAAGTAAGTGACACCAACTGACATATTTTGAAAATAAAAAATCCCCAACTAACAGCGTTCACAAAAAAAGTTTAAAAAATGGAAAATAAAATCCAAAATCGAGAAAATAGTATAAAATACACGTTGCAGAAAGCTATTCTCGCACTCATTCGTTCGTCCACTCGCTCCTTCGTCGCTCGTGGCCAAATTTCAAATTCGGGAATATGTGGCTTTCTGCAACTTGTATTTTAATATACTATTTTGACATCGTATTCAAAAATGACAAACCTTATGGGAAGGGCCTTTCTGTCAAATTGGCTTAAAATAGGGGATCAGGTAGGGAATGTGATTGATTAAGTGTTCACGGGCACAAAGTCCGGCTATGGCTAGACTCCGAGATATTAGATATTTGGGGTCAAAGTCAATTATATGATCATGATCATTTATATTTTTATTATTATGACATATTTTGACTCTGATTTGCCGTAATAATTGGTTTGGCATGTATTAAAATAGGTTGACAAGAAATATATTTGGGCCCGGATTCCGAACCCATGATTTGATAGTAACGTCTATCTTCAGGTACATACTTTTGCACGGCTTGACGATGGATGATACTATCGAATCGTGGGTTCGGAATCCGGGCCCTGCACAGTGAAAATACATTTTTGATTTTAAAAAATATTCATTAATTATTAGGTCTGTTCGCACAGAAGTCACAAACCAGTCAGAGTGAATTTCATTGGTTGAAACTAGTTTTCTGACTGTTTTCAACCAGTGAAAATCGCTGTGACTGGTTTGTGATTTCTGTGCGAACAGACCTAATATTATATGTTATGCTATTATCATATTATACATCATTGATAACTATATCAAAATCTTGGTTAACGGCCATATTTGCATTCAGCATACTGCGTAAGAGCCTGATTGTTGGATAGCGAACATTCTTTTGATGCCTAGCATATCCCAATACATGTGCCTAAAGTTCTGGCTCCAGCTTTACAATTGCAATAATAACCTACAATAGGTTCTTGCCCATTACCATCTACTCCATTGTATTCCTCGTTAAACGCGATCCATACTTGATGCTTAGTAGCATTCCTGAATCGGGTCTAATAAATTCAGGTTCGTTGGTATTTAAATCAATTCCAAAGGTAATTTCGTTTTGTTCATCACCTTCCTGGTCAACTCTAAGTCTTGAATGTAAGATGGTGATAAGTACACTTGGTACGTTCCAAAAGTAAATTCATGTAAGTATTCTATATTTAATACTGGAAATAACGGCACATAAACTGGAGTCAACTGAACTCATCGTCCTCGTCTGCGTTTGAGATTTTCAGCATCAACTCGTGCCTGAACAACGTTGACTTCTCGGGATTGGTTTAGAATTGCCTCTGCCAAATCTATATCTGCATTCGGCATAGTGATAGGTCCATAATACTTATTTATAATTGCGCGGAACGTGAGATGTTGTTATGGTATTTGAGAAGAATTCAAGAATTAAGAATTTGAAAATATTTTTCAAGTCTCCGTTACGCGCTTCAACAGACAACAATCCACCGCCTTTTAGTCACTATCCGTGCTTCATTTGCTTGTTCAGTTGAAAACTGACTCTGGTTCCTGTCCAAAATAGGTGGGATTATTGTAAGCATGTTGATTCTACGTAAAAACTGTATAGCGTTTCGATATCCACGGTCTACTACGCTAATATCTCCATCTTGAAACCAGTTCCGCATTCCGTTGATTGAACTTATTCAATAATATTCTAGCATCATTGTTAGCCGCATTCGAGAAGTATGCTCCTTGAATGTCGAGGATATATCCATCATCAGAAGCAACTATCATAGAAGGTTTAACAAGGTGTTTACTCTTATGGCCACAGTAGGATGAACGCAAGACTCTAAAGCAAGTACTTTTTCCCATATCAAGATACGTGCAATCAATATACGCGATCGCTTTTGGATTTTGCGGCGCAGGGTTTTACAAGCGATTTCCGACAGGTGTTACGTGCATTTCTATATATTCTTCTGTAGTAGTAGCTTCGAAGCCGATATTTTCGGGAACAAATCTTTCTGTCAGCGATTGCCTCACTGTAGATATGCCCATACTTGTAGCCTGTCTCGAAGAATAGTGGAAAATTACATGTAAAAACCCATCTTTCAGACCTTGTCCTCGAGCGTTTTAAATTCTTCATTAGACACTCCATGTTCATTCTCGTACCTACGTAAAACACTACGCCCTACTTTTTCACGCGTACCTTGCGAAAAAGATTGCAGTAAATACCGGGTTTTAGCCAAAATTCTCATTATCAGTTTTTTTATTTTGGTATACCCTTGTTCATTATTGACTTTCCATTAGTTCTTAATTTGAGAGACAAATACTTGTTTCCCAGCTCATTTTTACGTATGCAACTTGAACTTAAGTCATAATACATGAAAATGAAAGTCACCGCAACCCCCAATACGTTCAGAAATAGCGCACTCAGAGTACACTCCAAGTAATGACGTCAGAACATTTACAAACAACTACTCTACATTCACACTCCATTTCTAAACGCACTACTGCTGCAGTGGGGGGGTCAATATATGGGCAAGGCAAAGACCCTGTACAATGCGCTCTTTTCATGTAAACCAGCATCAGTTTTTCATGTACTCCAACTCCTCTTGAAACCATTTTTGTCAAAACGCCGCATTTTGGAGATATGCCAGTTTTTAACCCTTCTAGAGGATAGTTCGAGAGGACTGGCTTCTTGAATCAAAGGGGGCTTTTTTCAGCGTGCTATAGACAGCTTCAAACAAACATACCAAATTTCCTTCTATCTCTACTTTGTTCAGCTTCAACTCAGATCGACCCTGGCATACTGATTGATCGAGTTCCTAAAACAACTTTGTTCACATTACAGAATGCTTTAAAAATTGGTAATAATTTATATTTTTTTCCTTCCAGAAAAACCTGGTTTCCAGTCGCCATATGGAGGAATTGATAACGGAATGGTAAGTAGGCTTCATTTGATTTTTTTAAAAACACTAGTGGTTAACTATCCTTATGTAGGCATACGCCTTGAGCCCTACAGGACCAGTATACTCTGGATCCGGCGCCAGTCCTACACAAGCCGCAGGGGAACCCTTTGCGGCCGACAGCCCCTATTTTCCTTTTGGAGCGAGGCCGGGCAGCCGCCTGTCTCCTGCTAAAGCTAAATCCGCAGGCGGAGCAGCAGGACCTACAGGGGCTGTAGCCAGGTGCGCCAAAGAGGAACCCCAACAACCTACTGCGGCTACAACGTTGGACGGCCAGCAATGGACAGTGGTAAGTTTTTACTGAATTTTGTTGTTACTGCCTAAAGTACATAGATTCGCTGTTCGTTAAAGTGTTGTTTGAAATAATGACCTCGGTATTTCAAAAAATAAGCTATGTTCGACAAGGACAGGATTGCTTTTTGTAGTTCCTATAAAAATTGCTTCTTTTATTTGAAGGGAAACTTCTAAAAAGTTAGATATTCAACATCATTAGTCTAGAACTTTTCAGTGTATTATTCAGGGATCAATTTATAATGTTCAGACATTTTAGTAGGTCTTGCCCCCTAAAAGAATTCATGTGTTATTCCCTCAAAGCACGTAAAAAATGATTTTTCCGCCATGAGAACTGACAGGTGAACTTGCAGATAATAATTACGTTTTTAGCACAGGTTGGTATATGATTTTTTGACCGATTTCTTACTAATGCTATATTTGCATTAAAAAAATAGTAAAACAATATTTTTGTTTACGCGAATCTTTTTATAATTTACATAATATAGAGGCATTTGTTTTGACAAAGAAAACTGGTAGAAATATTTCCAGCTTACTGTCCTGACTGCTTACTTATAAATACCAGAAAAAAATAGCAAAAATAATTATTGCATACATCCATTAGTATGTGAAGTGGATTTAATTCAATAGAGAGGACTTGCGTACTCGTTGAATAACGTTTGAGTTGATTATCAATAATAATAGTCAATGTTACAGATAAATAATTTAATTAGGAAAGTTCTTGGTGGATTTCCAAACGATTTCATCTTTGGAATTTCAATTCTGCAAGTAAGGAAGTCATAATTTGGTCTTAAAACTTTTTACTGCAAACAGCAACATTGTATTTGTTCATTTAACGTTACAATGCCGCATTCCACAAAGGTTATCAGTATGCTAATTTGGCAAATAAACGTTTAGTGCATGGGACCGTATGTCTTGGCACCTTATTATTACGTCCCTATTTCCGAGATCTTTGATACAGTTCGGCGATAATTGCCGGCCAACTTTATTAGATATCTACAATAATAATGGTCGGATTATTATTGTGGAACAGTTACTACCGAAGCCAATTTAAATATCTGATACAAATTAAACCGAACTAATAGGTTCGTTTTAAAATTATTTTGTTAAACGGTGAAAAACTTCCTGGAAGAGTTTGTGTTTGATGCGAACAAAGAAAGAGATGAAGTCATATTGCGAAATTATGTGAATGTTTAAAGTAATTGGATGTCGTGTTAAATAGATTACATATTATTTATTATGGACGCGTGACTGGGTGCTGGTCAATCATTAAACGTGTGGATTAAATATTGATTAGCAATCACGGACATTCTTAGTTCTGGAATTGGAAAATACTTTAATTTACCATTTTAGTATATATAACTTAGTGGATTATATTCTATTATTTTATTGTTAAATGACTATGTTCATTTCACTCGCTGTATCCGGATATTAAGTGGATTGGAGATTATCAATCCATATTTATTTATTTTACAACTGACTACGTTTATTTCATGCGTTGTATTCGGATACTAAGTGGATTGGATAAATAATAGGGATTAATAATCCTGAAGTAAATACCCAGGACTAGGGAAATAATCCGGATCAGAGTATTTAACCCAATCCTCCAAATTTGTAGGATTGAACTTAAAATGGATTATCTCAAATGTGAAATAAACACCTCCATCTCGGATTCAAGAAGTTTGTTGTTAACTTCAAGAAAAAATTACATTTGTCGTTTGTAATTTTTTGAGCATTGATGTTTTATTTGAATATTTTTTGATGAAAAACCAGTGTGAGATACGAAAATGTTTACCTTTTAATTGTTAATTGAAACTATTTTTCATCATTGTTGCCTTTAATGAAGTTAGACACAAACGTCACAAAGCAATTAGCGCTTGCGCTTTTAACAAGGCTTAAAAAAGGATTATTTAATCTTAATCTATTTAATATTTGTGAAATAGACGAATATGGATTAATAATCCTTAATCCACTTCGTATTGGGATACAACGCGTGAAATAAACGCAGTCATTGTCACGACTTCCGCGGTTCCTTTAAAACTCTCCTTACTAACAACAACAACTTTTATTGAACAAATTAACTTTACTTCATTGTCGAGATAAGATTCAGGCATATAATATGCATAATAACAGCATAATTTACAAGTGAGTGATGAATGAGTGTTATTAAGCAAATTAAATCAATAATAATCGAGAACATGCAGAGTTACCCAAAATAACCCGTCCGCCTAGACTCTAGTGCCATTTATTTAGTCCTCGCATTTTATTTAAAAAACAAAACGCGCTTGAGGGACGCTATATACAGTAAACTAAATTAACCGAGAAAATAAGTTTTCAAAATAAATTGACTTACAAGGACTAGATCGCACTAGGCGGACAGGTTAATTTGGGTAAGTCTGTATTTTCTTAATTATTATCAGACAGGTAAAACCAACAATACACGACTAATCGAACCCAGTGAACACACAGACGTTATTATGACGTTCTTCCAATTTATCACACGTCGATGATAATTGGTTTGGTTTTACGTTAGAAGTTGATCCTTTGCGACGACTCATCTTTTTTGGGAATATGTAAATTCGTTGAAGTTCCCATTTTCAATTGCCAAATGCGCTGCAATGGCCTTAAAAGTTCACCTGGAGCCGTTTTCAACTTCACTATTCTTAAGCTACGTTTACATTGGAGTCTAATTTGAATTGGAAGTGAAATTTTTGAGCTTGTCTTATGGCAAACTATACTGTCGTCTATTTTCCAGATTATTTTCAAGGTCACGCCCATTTCCAATTCAAATTGTTGCAAGCAGCTTGACATGGACAAGAAAAAATTCGAAATTACAAATTTGAAGGCTAGGTTCAATGTTTTGTTATGGTCAAGTACATACAAAGCATAATTTTTCCCGCATAAATTTCAAAGTAAACGGCCAGGAGTTCAACTGTCAAGTAATTCCAATTGCAATTAGCCTCTCCAAACCACGTGATTTTTCAATATGGCAATCCTGGAAAATTTGACGTTTGTTTGTTTATCTTGAGTTTATTTGGAATATTTTCAAGCTAATTACAGTTTACTTTGTTATAATATACTTTTTCTCCGAATGACAGTAAAAGCGACCTTTTAATGACACTTGACAGGATCAAAAGCTGTATTTTTACTTCCGAGGCAGTAAAAGTGGACTTTTACTGCCTAGGCATTAAAAGTGACAGTGTCACAACATTCCAGGTAATAATTTCACTCAATTTGGTATTTGAAATTGATGGTGACAATGACAATTGTCAAAATAATTTATTTGTTTGGATAATAATAATGAATGAAATAAATATAAAAAAGATGTCCATGTGTGAATTTGAACATTCGGAAAAAAAATTATATGTTTTACATGGGAGAAAAGCAGATTTAATGCCTCGGCTGGTTTCCTAGCCTCGGCTATGAAACACCAGCCGCGGCATTAAATCTTGTACTTTTCTGCCTAGTAAAACAAATAACTATTTTGAGATGCAGAGTGACTATTTAAAGACTTGAATACAGTAAAATCGGGATGTGGGCGAACGGTTAGTTTAAAAAAATGTCCAGATGACATTTTGATCCACAGTTCACATTAATGAGCAAATGAAGGCCTACAAAAGCTTAGATTCTTACGAATATTTCGAAAATGGCTTTATTTCAGATGCAGGAACAGTGGTAGTGAAAAATTTTCACGTTTTAATTGGAAAATTTTGAAACAAAGGGCAACGAAAAATGCCTGATATCATCCTTGTGTTACCTTGTTGAAACTACTTCCACAATCAACTACAAGACCCGTTTGTGGGATTTTTAATTGGAAGAAACACTAATGAAGTCAATAAAATAAAAAAATAAACAGAGTTCATTCACAAAACAATCACAAAATGCACTTTAAATAACATACTCTCATATACGGGATAATGAACTTCCGCCACAACGCAATTTTTGACATGTCGTTGGAATGCCTAATTCGAGATAGTGAAAGTAAACAAACTTTGACAGGTAAGTCGAATTTTATTGGCTGAAAAAGGATTATACTCCGCCCTAGACAGGACCGTCTTAGGTTGTTTTGTATTTGTATTCTCTGAATATCTTTATTTTTGGTCTTCAGCGGAATTTGTTGAACTTGACATTGTTCTAATTTAAATTGCTCACTAGTTAACAATAATTCACCAAACACTATTTAAATAATTGTAAAATACTAGGGAATACGACACCAAAACCTATTGACTCATATGACAACCTGACAATAATAAATGTCATTGGTTGTAATTCATATTTTTGCAGTCCTTCTCTGAATTTTTGAGCTCCGCCAGTTTGTTTACCTCTACTATCTCGTTTCGTGGAATGAAGTTTAATTTGAATTGAAATTGAATGTAAACGTAGCTTTACTTCTCCGTCACATCCAGGAATAATTTCACTTACACGCCCCAGAGGCCATTCAAACTTCTTGTTATTGTAATCTGAGATCAAGACAATATCTCAAACTTTTACTGTCTCTTTAGAACTTTTCTTGGAAAAAAGAGTCAAATGTTCTGCCTTGAACCTCCTACTCAGATGTTCTCTTAGGATCTGTGCTCTTAGTTTCAGTTCATATTTAAATCGTCTACCCAGATCATTGGCTTAAACTAAATCAAGATCTATACAGTTCCTATTTTTTTAACATCTTGTAGGAACATTGATGGTGCTAGAACAACATAGTCATTGGGATCTTCAGACATGTACGTTAGTGGTCATGCATTCCAAACTGTCTCATAATCGCAAAGTGCGGTCTGTAGCTCTTCCATATCAAGGCTTGTTTTTCCAAGTGTTTCACGTAACAAATCTTGCAACATCCATATGAGTCGGTCCCACCAACCACCCCACCCAGGTAGCTATTGGAAGACTCATTCTCCATTCAATTTTCTGTACAGCACTACAGTTTTCAGCTACGTATGACCAATCTATGTCTTCTAAAGCATTGAAACATTCAACAAAATTTTTTTCACAATAGATTGTTGA